AAAAATCAGTCATTGAAAACCCTACAGAACACAATTTAACTCATAGAGTCACCATAAGTCAGAGTCAGCTTTTTCCATTATAAAAACCCAAGAACCTACATAAGCAAAAAAAGGTCTATTTATAGAACCAAAATGGGTATATAATGTGTGACCAATTTTAGACTATTGATTGAATTTGTCATTAATACAAAATGTATGTTTTCAGTCAGAACAAATTGATAGCTGACATTCTGGCAGGTTTTCAAAGACAAAAAACATAAAAAAATAACATGGGAGCAAATTGCTCATCTGTGTACTAAGAAGAAACTGATGACTTCAAACCTCATGCTGTTTTTGAAGGCAAGGGAGTCTTTCTCTAGGCAGTTGCCAATAAGACAGGCAGATTGCAATATCCAAAGCACTTTATTGCAGATCTGGGAGAACAGTGAGAATTATCTCAAAAACTGCTTCCCCATCTAACAGTGGCTTTTTAAAAAAAAAAAAAAATCAAATTTTTATTTTAAACTGGATAACTTAAAAAGTTTGTATACATTGTTTTTCATACCGAATATTTCCCATTTTCTTTACCCACTCTAAGGTTAGATGTTAGTTACTAGTAAACAAACAGCTTGTGATATAGTTTTTATATGACTGAGAAAACCATCTTCAAACAGATAAATGCTAATTCAATTACATATAACTGAGCGTGCATAAGAAAAAATCTTTTTGAGGTAGTATTGTTTTAGGTGAAATTGAGTCAGGTACAAGTCATAAACACCCTTTAAACAACAGATCTGAACCCTGTCCTATTCTGTATCGTCCTCATCATCTCTGACGCACTTGAATCCATTGCTGCAGTTACTTTGTCAATCCATCTCCTTGAAGTTCTTCCTGTCTTTAATTGACCCTCCATCTTTCCAAGCATGACATCCTTTTTCCAAGGAATAGCTTCTCCTAGCAACAAATCTGAAGTATGTGAGATACAGCTTCACCATGATTGCTTCCAAGAATCTCTGGCTGCACATTTTCCAAAACATATCTATTGGTTGTTTTGGCAGTACCTGGGATATTCAGTGTTCTTTTCCAATGCTGTAACTAGAAGGCATCAATTATTTTATCATTTCAATATGTTTTCAAACTCTCAGATGCAGAGCAAGTCATTGGAAAGACCATGGCCTGAATCAGGCACAGCAGAGTCTTCAAACTGGCATCATTACTCCTTAACAATTTGGAGAGGTTCTTGACTGCAGGCTTTTCCAGTGTAATATATCTCCTGATTGCTTGTACCAAAGATGTTAATTGTGGATCCACATAAGATGAAATCATTGACAATTTCAATCTTTTCTCACCTCTCATAATGTTGCTTATCAGTCTTATCAGTCTAGTGGTGAGGATTGTTGTCTTCTTGATGTTGAGATGTAGTCCAAAATGAAGGCTGTAGCAAGCATTTCAAGTTATCCTTACTTTCAACAAGTAAGGTTGTGTGTCATCGGCATAATGCAGGTTGTTGATGAATCTTCCTCTGATCTTGATGCCATGTTCTTCTTTATGGAATACCATTTCATGAATAATTTCTAAGTGTACAAATTGAACAGGTATGGAGAAAGGATACAATCCTGACACACACCTTTCCTGATTTCAAACCACACAATGTTCCCTTGCTCTGTTCAAACAACAGCTTCTTGATCTAGGTATAGGTTTCACAGAAGCACAATAAAATGTTCTGGAATTCCCATTTTCATCAATGTTAGCCAGTTTTAGTTTGTATGATCCACATAATCAAATGCTTTTGCACAGTCAATACATGAGGGGCTGGTAAGTGAATAAACTGAACTGGTACCAATCATTATTTTACTTAATAATTAGTTTAAACAAAACTTTATTTCAATAATATCTAGAGCCTTGCATAAAAAAGAGAGGTCACTAAGGTCAAGAGAAGGTTTGCTATTAGGTGAAAAATCCAATAGTTTCAAACAGATTGTGAACATAAGAAAAATAAGTTGAATGATGATCTAAACTCTCTAAGAAGATATGAATCATTGAAATTAAGCATATATGTCAATGGACATGAGCAACAAAATAAAATATATTGATACAATTGTAAAGAAGAAATCAATGGCATTAAGAATAAAAAAATCAATGTGAGTGATTAGCAGTTAGATCATTTCTAATAATTTCATTTTTAAAAGTTAAGTAGATAGCAATGTAGCTTGTCAAGAAAAGGACATGTGTAATGGAGTTGAATATGACACCAGTTTATTATTGCAAGCAATGTATATACATTTAGCCCTAAGAGCAGAATTAAAAAGATAAATAGTGCTTTTACAAATCTGCATATTTAGATCCTTTCTCCAGCTGTACTTATAACTATGGGAACACTCAATGTGAAATAGGAGCTCTCATGGCCCAGTGACAAGAAAATGTACTGTAATCCAGAAGACATGAAGTTCAAGGCCACAGCTACTCCACGGGAGAAAGATGAGCAATCTCCTCCAATGCAATTATCTGCCTCTGAAAATTCTCTGGAGGGTCAGCTATGGGTTAGTTCTGACTCTATGGTACACAACAATGTGAAATACAGAGCTGGAGCTGTAGGGTTTATATGTTAGCAGGGGAGTCAATTAGTCAATTAGTGAATGTAAAATAGCAATTCAATTTATTCAATTCTTTTGATTCAGCAATTCAGTTATATACACTGATGTGCAGTGTATATGATCTTGGATAGGCTAACATGCCCTATTTGCCCATCCACATGGTCAAGTCAGATTTGATGGCTAGGAAAATCATATTGAAAGTTTAACTCTACAACTGTTTGAACTGTATGCTGAACAAATTCTTTGAGAAGCTGGACTTCATGAAAAAGAATGTGGTATCTAGAAGAAGAGATGACTAAACCGCTTCCACAGAATAAAGACAGCCATGGAGTCACAGCCATCCACTTCAGCAGGTGGGTGACAATTTCCCAATGCCTCCAGGGGGAAGCCTTCTGACAAGCTCCCTGTAAGTGCAAGCATTTATCTAGATCAAAGGTGCCAAGACCAGTAAAGAATAAAGATCAAGAGGAATTGAAGGGGGCAGAGAACAAAACCCAACACATCACCTGAAAGCCCTCCACTCATCCCAGAAAGGTGAAGAAGCCCAAAGAACAGATTCTCTATGGCCACTATCACAAGTTTATCAAGAAGGTCAAGGTGAACAGGCCAGTGATGACCAAGAGAAGATGAGCACAACCACCTCCATCAGCTCCGAGAACCCCCAGTGAGCCATCAGAGCAGGGCCACAGGCCCCAGTTTCGGGGTCTCTGCTTGGTGAAGGGCCAACCACCTATGCTGACCCTGGGGTGCACCAGTGGTATGGTTTCAAATAAAACAACACACTGTGAAAAACAACAACAACAGAACAGAGGGAGACTAATCAATAACCTTTATGCTGGTGGCACAACATGCCTTGCTGAAAGTGAGGCGGACTTGAAGTGTTCGCTTCAAAAGATCAAAAACCACAGCCTTAATATGAATTGCATCTCTACATCAAGAAAGCAAAAATTCTCATTACTAGACCATTAGGCAACATCATGATAGATGGATACAAGTTTGAAACAGTCAAAGACTTCATCTTACTTGGTCAGGAGATCAAAAGATGTATTGCATTAGGAAAGTCTACAGTTAGGGACTTTTCCAAATTATTGAGGAGCAGTGATATTAGTTTGAGGTCTAAGGTGTACCAGATTCAGGCCATGGTCTTTTAAACCACTTGGTATGCTGCTGAGAGCTGGACAATGAATTGGAATGAAAGAGAATTGATGACTTTTAACTGTGGTGTTGGAGAATAGTGCTGAATATTCATTCCATGGACTGCCAAAAGAACAGACAGATATGTCTTGAAGGTGGTGGAGCCAGAATGCTCCTTGGGCCAAGATGTTAAAACTTTGTTTCACATACTTTTGGCATATTGCTGCGAGAGGCTATTTACTGGAGAGGAATACCATGCTTGGGAATGCGGGGTGGGGGTGGGAGTGCGAAAGAGAGAGGAAGGTTGACAAGCAGGTAGATTGACACAGTGACTCCATCAATGAGCTCAAGTGTATCAGAAATTGTGAGGTTGGCACAAGATAGGGAGAGGGTTCAGATCTATTGTTCATAGATCACTATGGATTGTACTTGACTCGATGCACCTAAAAACAACATCTGGATCCTGGACACAGAAATGTAGCTCTGGGATGAACAGCCAAGTTTAGAAAGGAAGAATTCTTTCTCACTGCCCTCCCCCATTGCCTTCATTCATCAATGTTCTATTGCTCTGATTTAAATGTTTACAAGTTTTACTCTGTTGCTTTGTCACTAGCAAATATTGTAGGTGTTCATATGTCTCTTCCCTCTTCTTGTCTCCAAATTCTTCTGGTGAAAAAGAACACAGAATTCCTGCAAAACTCTACATGTTCCTTGCAGTTCTAATTTCTATTGTATTAATGTGCTGAGTTGCTCACCTAAAAGTCAGTGGTTTAAACTCACCAGCTACTCTGTGGGAGAAAGATGAGCATTTACTTTCTGTTAAAATGTACAACCTTTGAAAATCAATTACGTACTGCTGTGAGTAAAAATTAACTTAATAACAGTGGATTTTGTTTGGTTGGTCTTTGCAAATAGTCAGACAGCAGGTATAGCTGTTGTATTAGGTTAGAAATGGAAATCTTACCTTTTGAGAGAAGACAGAAAGTGAGAACAACTATTAGGCTTTTCTGAACTGAGGGCAGGGCAGAAATTCCACAGGGCATAACCTGTTCATTTTCAACGAGTTGGAAGAATTTTCCCATGGTCACATTTCATGACTGGAAAGGAAGAATACTGAACCTCCTTGGCTTTTTCTGTGATTTTTAAAAAATTTATTATTATGCTTGGAAATATTCTAAAAGGTTCTGCAGAGGTTATCTTATCTCCCTTCAAACTTTAGTCTGAAATACTGTTGATTACCTAAACTTGACAAGCCTCTTTTCTTTTGGACTAACCCTGTTGTTTACGTCTGGATCATTCAGATGCTTTGCTTCCTGGTCCCTGTCCCCGTTGAAATACCCTGACAACCCTTTCCCGGATTTCCTTGGTCTTAACACCATATACTAGAGGATTAAGAGCAGGTGGGAAGAGCAGATATATGTTGGCCAAAAGAATGTGAATATGAAGTGGAACATGATGCCCAAAGCGGTGAGTGAAAAAGGAGAAAAGGGCTGGGGTATAGGAGATGAGGATGACACATACATGGGATCCACATGTCCCTAAGGCCTTGGACCGAGCTTCACGCGATGAGAGACGAAGGACAGCTCGAGCAATAAAGGCGTAAGAGAGACCAATGCAGAATAAATCAACCCCGATGACCAGTAGTGCTGCAGTCAGCCCATACACACGGTTAGGCCTGGTGTCCCCACAGGCCAGCTTCACTACGGCCATGTGTTCACAGTATGTATGGGGGATCACATGGCTTTGGCAGAAGCTCAAACGCCGAATTAGAAAAGGACATGGAAACATAAGCAGGGAGCCCCGCACCATAGCTACTACACCTATGCGGGCAATGATGGTATCGGTGAGAATAGTGGCATAGCGGAGTGGGTGACAGATGGCCACGTAACGGTCAAAGGCCATGGCCAACAGCACAGTGGACTCCATCATACAGAAGGCATGGATGAAAAACATTTGTGCCAAGCAGGCAGAAGCAGTGATGTGTCCTGCTCCACACCAGAGGATGGCTAGTAGCTTGGGAACAGTGGAGAAGGAAGCGGCCAAGTCAATGGTTGAGAGCATACAGAGGAAAAGGTACACTGGCTTGTGCAGAGCTGGTTCGGTGGCAACAACAACCAGGATAGTGATGTTGCCCACAATTGTGGCCGTGCCCAGACAACACACAGGGAGCGAGAGCCACAGGTGGAACTGCTCTAGACCTGGAATTCCCAGGAGAAAGAAGACAGAAGGGTCCAGGACAGTGTGATTAGGAGACTCCATGGTGTAGTCAAGAGTGCTTACCCTCCTCTCTGGTTAGAGACTCCCACACAATCTCATATTACCTGGAGAGACAGAAGAGGAGCACAAGTGAGGCTAAAGAAACAGAAATTATATTAACGTTAGGAGAGTGCATTTAAGAATGGTACCTATCCCCTAGAATAAGGAGTTCTTGTAGCACAAATACTTAAGCACTAAGATTCTAATCAAAAGTTTGACAGTTCAAACCCAGCTAGTGATTCTTTGGATGAAAGACTTCATAATTGGCTTCCATAAAGATTGCTGACAGTGACAATTTATGAAACCCTGCATAACATGGATGAATCTGGAAGGCATGATGTTGAATGAAATCAATAAGGCACAAAGGACACATATTGTTTGAGATCATTATTATGAAAAGTTAGTTTGCTGCTATTGTTGTTAAGTGCTGTCTAGATGCTTGCAACTCAGAGTGACCCTATGTACAATAGCTCTGAACCCTGCTCTATCCAGAGCCAACTGCATTGTCCTACACACCCACCCCCATTACCCCAGCCACTGAGTTAATCCATCTCATCCAGGATTTTGAACAAAGAAATATTCTTTGATGATTATCAGGAATGGAGATGAGGAAAAATCAAGGGAAAAGTAATATACAATAAGGTAATGATCAGCTCAGTATAAACAAAAAGAGAGAAAATCCTATTACAGCCAAAAGCAGACAGTTACATTTTGTCACATGCAGCTGCTATGAATCAGGAGTAATTGGATAGCACCCAATAAGAGTCGCAAAGAACAAACGTGTTAGTACTTGTAAAAGGTCTCAAATAGTACCTGTTACATAATGTTTGTTAAATAAGTAAATGCAAGGAGGAGTGCAAATGCATACAAACTCTGTAAGCAAGCCAATTAAAAAAAAGCAAATAACTGTTTAAGTAAGCTAGAATTGTGTTCTAGCTAACCTCTATTGTCAGTAAAGGAAAGGATCAAGCCCATTCATTTTCTTTTTTCCCCAGGAATATACCTGAAAGCTAACACACACTTTTATGAAGAATACTGAAAGGGAGGTGATTAAGTAGAACCGTCTCTCCAAAACCTAAGTTGCAAACAGTTCATGATGAAGTTGAATATTGTTATTCTTACCTTAATATTTAGAATGAGTTCTAGTTCGGGTGGAATGCTTGGTAATGGTTCCTCACCTGTTTGCTATTGGAGTAAAATGGACAATCTTTTCCAGTGTGAGTCACTGCCTATGAAAACTCTCTGGAGGATCAACTATGAGTCAGTTCTGACATGATTATACATAACAACTACTATATTATACTAGTAACTTCTACCCCTTTTACTCATCAATAGATAATTTCTCATACTCAATCTTCATTTAAATCTATATAAGAATTTCACTCTCATAACTCCAGTTAGCTGCCTTTCCTTAAAAGTTTTGAAGTTTCACCTTTTGGGACATCGTTCTGATACTTAACCAGAAAATTCCATTCTTTCCAAACCCATTACAGAGTCATTTATTCACTTACCATCTCTGAAAATTTATGATGTAAAAAAAATAAAGAATATAGCCAACTTCTCCATTCTATACATTTGTAACATCAAAAAGTAAATTCTTCATTTCTAGCTGGTATTAGTGATGAATCATTTATGGAGTTTTATTCTAGTCTCTCATTTATTGTTCCTTTCTTATAATTCCAGCACCTAAGGGAACATAGACCATTAAAAAAAGTGGATAGATAAAAAGAATTATACAGAAGAGTGGATAGATAAAAGGAGCATGTGCACCATAATCAGAAGAAAAGCTGATAAATAATACCAGATAGAAGTTTTCAGAAGGGAATAGTAACTTCATTGCTGAGTAGTTTACACTTTTGATTCAACCATATACAGTGGTTGTAACTAACCCTATTCTAGATATAATATGCAGTGTAAAACAATTACAGATACCAGAAAACATAGGAAGTAGAAAACAGTTATCAAAGAAGAATTAACTCCTTGCCGCAACTCTTTGTCACTCTGGATGTGTATGTATGCATTACATTCTGCATATAATATGAGAAGAGAGCTAAGCTCTCCTATTCCATAGTGGACCAGATACTGTGTCTATAGTATCTGGGGTTGGAGATAGAGGAATAGAGAGTTGTTCCCTGCAATTTTGGACCACAGTCAAGTTCTTTTCTTCTCAAGTAGGCTTAGTTAAGAGGTTAAACAATACTGTTATTGTGTGTACAGTCAAGTCAGAACCAACCCATAGCTGACCCTCTACTGGATTTTCAGAAGCAGTTTAATCATGTGGAAGGAGATTGCCTATCTTTCTTTAGCAGAGCAGCTGGTGGATTTGAATGGTGTGCCTTTTTATTTGCAGTCCAGTTCTTTACCACTAGGCCACCAGAGCTCCCTAATAGAGAGGACAGTATGTATCACTATATGTACCTAATAGATAGAGGACTGTACACTTAAACTTTTAGCCTTGTCTTCACATGGCCTTTGATGAAATAAGGTATTTTAGAAGCAATTAGTTCTCATGCTATTAGAACATCAATTTGTGATGATAAAGCAAGTGAAGTTATGGGAACCAAAAATTGGGAAGGAGAAAACTTTTTATTTACTTCTTGGTCAAATTGTTACTTTGATTAATTTTCTTCCAGAATCCTAAAGTTTTCTGATATGTAAAATGGAAAGAACACATTTTTAGGTTTGAATAATATAATTTTTTTTTATTTTAAAACGGGACTTAGGATAGCTTGTGGTCCATAGAAGTTTCTCAATAAATATAATATGCTTTTATCACTATTAACATCATTACTTTAGCAGAAAAGAATGTAATGTCTCATACATAATTGCTACTAGTTAGCCACTTAGGATCTTATCTTGGTTCAAACATCTATATGGTGGGTAAATAGTTTCCATTCAACGTAATTCATTCCACTGTAGAACAAACTTGTTGATAAAATACATATTACATAGTATATATCTTTTCATTTGGAGATTTGGAAACAGCTTCCCTGGCTGTTCTCAACCAAATAAGGCACACTCAGCTCTGCCTTTCATGATCTTTCTTTGCTCATTGAACTAATGTGGGTTGTTTTCAGTTAAGTGGCTCATCACAGAGCTGGAACCAGAAGGTAAAAGCAGAGTTCTTTTCACCAAAAACAAATCTCCCTTACTGTCATCATCCAGTTTAAGTTTAGGCTTATGAGTCTTCTCATAAATTCACTGACTCATATCCAGGAGGTTTAATGTGTTGATTCTCTTTAGGTTACTGATTCTGTGCTTTCTGACTTTTTTATTTTCCCCCTGTGAAAACAAGCCCAAGAACAGATGATCACATATTTCTTGACTTGTTTAGCCTCTACTTTTTTTTTTTAGCCTCTAATTTTTAAAGTAATACTTGCAGCTTCTATAATCTTCTCTTTTTAAGCAACCCTCACTTCTACACATACCAGCCCATTCATTGGACCCAATTGAAATGTAATTATGAAGGCTCTCAGGCAAACCTTTATTTAAACCTATCCCTTTGACTCAGTCCCTAGCTGATTTTAGAGTGATGTGAGAGCCAATACCTTCAGACAGATGAAACTTCCAACATCACAATTTGGAGGAATGAGAATTGAGAAGTCTCTTTGTTATCAAAACCTGAAGGCTGTCACTCTTTGCACAAGTCGAGCTGACCTCTACCCTTAGCAGAATAACAGACTATGATTACTGCACCAGGGTTATCACTAAGGATCTGCTGATTCCTCCCAACCTATTGCCCACTGTTGATCTCTATACAAGGTCTTTTGTCTCTGAACACACAAATTTTTCTTAGCTGTTTTGTGAATATGTATTTTTTAGGAATTTCCAGAATAGTGTAAATGTCTCAAAACTTCCTTATAATGTTTCTAATTTCCCTCATCTGCTTGTCCTACCATTTGCTTCCCCCGACCCCCCACCCCCCGTTTGTTGCTCTGATCCTTTTTTCTAATGCTCAGTCTAATTGCCAAGCTAGAACTTCTGTTTTAGGGAGCATCCTGTCTAAAATTCTAAAGCAGATTACTCAAAGATCTGTTCAGTAAAATGACCTCTCCTGGCCCCTAAAGTTCATTCAGCTTTAAAGTAGCCTTCCCAGCCTCAGTTGTCTGATAGATTTCTTGTGAAACCTAAGAAATGTTTTTTTCCCAGACACTATATTTAGCCCAAACTCACATGACTCCAACTCTGGAAAAATGAGAAGGCACATATTCAGAAAGCATCCTCAGAAGATTGCTGGTCTTGAATTACTAGTGTCTATTTACCCTTAACTATCTAAATGCTGAGCCAAGAAACCATATACAGATGAGACCTGTCTCACAATCCCTTTTGGGAGTTTGGTAGGTTGCACTGGGTTTAAGGCTAAAACTATCTAGTTTAAACATATCTCCTCAGGGAGCTTCTGTGTTCTCTATGAAACTAGAAATATAAACTTGTCTCTTCTAGCTGACTAAATAATAATGTAAGGGGAAAATATGTCTCACATGAAATCTTTAGTGATTTAGTGTCAGGAGTTGTGCTGCTAATTCAAAGGTACATGGTTCAAATCCACCAGTTGCTCCATATGAGAAAGATGGGCAATCTCCTCCTGTATGATTTGCTGTTGTTGTTGTTAGGTGTCATCGAATTGAGTACAACTCACAGTGACCCTATGAACAGCAGGTCTGAACCCTGTCCTAACTTGTGTCATCCTCACACTTCCTAATACACATGAGCCCTTTGCCTCAGTCACCCTTTTAATTCACCTGGTTGAGGGTCTTCTCTCCTTCTCTGACCCTCCACCCTTCACAGTATCATGTCCTCCTCCAAGGAATAGCCCCTCCTAGCCACATACCCAGTCTGTGAGACCAAGCCTCATCATTCTTGCCTCCAAAGAGCACTCTGGCTACACCCTCTCCAAGACATACCTGTTAGTTCTCTTGGCTGTCCATAAATTTTTCAGTGTTCTTCTCCAGCACGACAGCTCAAAGTCATAAATTATTTTTCTGTCATCTTTATTCATTGTCTGATGTACAGCA